ACTCACTGAAAGAGCAGTGCATCAGAAACAGAAGGTTATAATTCTCAAAGCCACTTTCCTTTTTACAACAAAATTTCGAACATCCTTTTAACGCTTAAGAGATTGGGGAAAAGTGGTGACAAAAACTATAGACATCTAACGTTACGATAAAAAGAAGCACAACTTACCGGCTGAATAATATTCAGTTCGTCAATGCCAACCACAGAAAAGACTTTGTGCAGTTCAACATGTGGATCGCCCCGTATCGAATACAGCGTCAAACGTCGCAAATTCGGCAATCTAAAATCACGATTCTCAGGAGAAATGACGGAACGACCTCACACGCAAGTACGCATACATACACAAATAAATACTTTTCAGCTCTACCTCATTATTTTAAATAAACGAGAACTTACTGCTTCAGGAACCAAAACAGAAGCAGTGGGGGTCTCTTCTGGTAATATGAATGATCGTTCAGAACGAGATGAAGGGGACAAATTTTACGCAGCTGCCGAGCAAGCCTTTCGAAGCGGCCATCCGAAAGTTTTGACAATTCCGTGTTCATCCCCTAAAAGCACATTAAATCAAGCACAAGTAATTTTTGTATTACTATTCTATGTCAGATCTTTTGCTCACCCTGTGACTGGCCGCAAGACCACATTTTCCAGGCTAATTTTAAAAAAAAAAAACACACTTTTATTTTAATTAAAATTAGCTACCGCGTCTTTCATTTAGAAAATAAAAGAAAAACTCTGTGAAGGAAATCTGAAAAAGAATTTCTGCAAATGATTCTACCAAGTTCAGCAGTTCGGCAGAAGCAGCATACGGTTCGCTGTGTGATTTTTTCTGGCTCGATGGAAGTAAGTTGTATGGCATTGTGCCTGTGCTTGGCAGCGATCCTGATGTGCTCCCACCACTGCGGAAGGTACGCGGCGGCGATTGCACCGACGAACGCGATGACGCTGTAGACTGCAATTTTAAGCTATAATAATCTGATTGATGAGTTTGCGGATACATCGACTGGAATGAAGGCTATCTGCCGAATAATCTTGATATCAGAGAAAAAAATTTTTTTGCATTTTAGGTTTGAGCTGCAAACACCACCCCACTGCACTGCTTTTCAGCATGTCGTGCACAATGCAACAGCTAAAATTCTTACAACGTCCGAAGCGACTTTGTTCTCCAGAATGGTTGCATCATCTGACTGTTCGGCAACGGCAGCTTGCGCTGATGTGTCGATGATAACGCGAGTGGCATCACGTTCAAGAAAGGAACCAAAATTCTGAATCCAAACCTAAAGAGACAGCTAAGCGAAATTGAGGAACCTGCTCACTGGAGAGATAAAAGAACTGAAGAAGGTATAAATAAAACAGTGTGCAATTCCGACGCACAACCACAACTCCAAAATCCAATAAATGCTTGCTAACTGCCCTCCTTAAGTGATACCATTTTGACTTTCAGGAGTTCGGTATCACAGCGATGACTTGCGCATGAAATTCAATTTTCAAAAGGCATACATTTAATCTCATATGAAACTCAAGCTGGAATGCGTCAAGATTGTTGGTGCGATCATGCGTTTTTGCACCAGACTTGAAATACTCAGATCGTTAACTGCATGAATGTTGTTGCCTACTGCGCCCTACAGCGCAAATCATCGCAAATTTTGCATAAATGAAATGAACAATTTATATTTGACGGTCGCCCATTGAAAATGACCTAGCTGTTTCAGCGAGCAATTCCCCATCCGACCCACCTCCAAAGCTTTTAAGGGTCCGTACAGAGCCACGCATACCTTGAGGCTGAATTTGAAATATTTAAGTTCAACCCGGGCAAAGAACATTGCCCTAAAATTTCAGCTTCCAACTCTTCTGGTTTTCGAATTAGTAATTTCCCTGCCATAATTTTCACTTGCCTGTACGTAAGCACCACGTGTACTGGGGGACTGAATTTGAAATCTTTAAGTTTTACGTGGAGGGAAAATATACGATTAAAATTTCACCCTTGCAGCTTTTCTGGTTGCTGAGTAAGCAGTTTTCCAAAAAAAACCTTCATGTGCGCACACATGAAAGTCGCACACATTCAGGAGCTAAAATTGAAATCTTTAGCTCATACATGCACAAAAAATATTTCTCCAAAGTTTCAGCTCGCTATCCTTTCTAGTTACTGCGGTCGTTCCCGCGCCAAAAAATCTGCATATTTTTTTAAGGCGCCCGTATATGGCACGCAGGGGTACGCGGATGAAGGTATCAAAACGGGAGATTGCGCAGGTGTTGGGCAAATATTCCCGACGTTTCAACCTTCTAGCATTTCTGGCTCCCGAGTTGAAGGTGGGTGACAAAAATGGTGAATACACAGACCCAGACACATACACAGTTACACAGTCTCTTGCCAATATGCGTTTTTGCCATTGCATATACGTAAAAACGCATAAAAAGGAAAAATAAGAAGAGGAATTTTCCGGACAATGAATGCTGGCATCAGCAGCAGCCGCCCGTGAAATGATGCAGTGAGACCGATCAAAAAGGAAAGTTGGATTCGCTTCAAATTCTTCGAGAAATTTCACAGCTAAACAGATATTAAGGAAAACCGCGGTGAAGCCGAGTGTGGATAAGATCGATTGTAGACCACTATTTCACCCTCTTAGTGAAGCGTGCTCTCAGTCGAATGCACAATAATCACAAACACATCCTCCAGAAGATTCAGCTTTCTAGCTTTCCTGTCTTTCATTCTTTCGTTTTTTAACAATGCATAGTCAGAGCATAATAATGTGCTTACTGTGCACTGTTAAAAAACGCAAGGATGAAAGACGCAGGCTGCATTCAGATATGTCTTCTTGCACACTTAGACTGATCCCTTATCTCTTATTCTGTAGTCCGTTTTACTGCTTTTTATTCTTCATTTTCGCACATACTTTTGTGTTTCTTTGGTTATAAATAAAATTTTTTTTTTT